AATGAAACCTTGTCCACTCAGCGCACCCCTGAGGAACCCATTCAGAAAAATCTGTCTGCTTACATAGTTAAAATATTTGAAACAGCTTTTGAGTCAACCAACAAGATTAGGGGGTTTCAAAGTTGATTTTTGAACAGAATTCTACACAACATCATCAAGACCACAGAATTTTTGAGAAATGTTCCAAACAAAGAGGAACCAGAAGTTCCAGAAAACCAAAATTCTAAACCTCTTGACCTTGTGAATTCATGTAAAATCCTGTTTGAAAATCAACTTTGAATCCCAATATTGTTGCACTGAAAAAGCCACCCACCTGCCACCAACTTGCAGAAGCAATTACCATTGATTACTTGAATCACTGGAAAGGGATCCAACCGAGCAGTCCCTTCTCAATTCCAAACTTGTCTCGTCAGATTACTCAAAGATGATATTGATATGTCTGTTTTTTTTTTTTTTTTTTTTTTTTTTGCTTGAGGTTTTGTTCCTGTTATTTGCTTATCATTTTTTCTAAAACCACATGTACAAAATAGCAACCACGAATTGAAATTTTGTTTGACTTGGCCTTTCCATGTCCTGTTTTGTGTCAATGTCCACACTGAGTCCTCCTCATCTGATATATATCCAGCTGAAATTAGATTCTGATATTATATCACAAGCTTTCAGGTGTCAACTGGCCAACCCAAATTGGGTAAAATGCATATGTAATCCATCCTTTTGTCACTGCATGGGGGAGACATACCCAGTCATCTCCAGTACCAGCTCAACAGATTCAGCTTTCCACTGCAGATTGAATGAAAAATATATGGATACAAACCATTCTGGTGGTGGGAACAAAACAGGTCCCATCAGCAACCATACACAATGTCATACCAGATCATGGATTACAATAATATTGTATACTGTGAAACACATTCCAACACCATTTTGGTGCAATTGTAATATGAGTCAGAATCACAGACAGTGGATTACTCAAAGATATGTCTCAAAATCCCAAACATGAATATTTTTAACAATCACTCCTGGCTTGTGTGACATACACACTTTTTGCCCAATTCCAGCTAACTCTCTTTTTTGAAAGCAGAGTAATTCAAATGAGTACCTTCTGTAATATCCAATAAAATTTTCCAACTTTCTCAAATCACCTCCTTTCTGGTTGTGAAGTATCATGTTTACATGCACATTTATATTAAGGCTGTGTATCACAAGGCCAACTACTAACAAGCAGCTAGCACATCCAGATTTGAGTTCCATGTCACCCAATCTGACCAGATTCTTCAGATCTTGACTATCTAAGATGACTTCAACCGTAAGACTTGAAGTTGATTTCCCTTGCCCCTTCTTTAACTTTACCTTCATAAAATGAAGGCACTGGCCTTGAAAGAGGACCTCTTTGACTATCAGTTGGCACAGGGTTCAAGTTTGGTTCAAGATACATGGGTCAATCAAACGTCACTGGATCAATTGGTATGATGGCCAAGATGTAAAAATAAGCAGAAAATCACACCCATCAGACTTGGAAATAGGGGGTATCAAATAGAAAATCCACCTTTGCAAAGCCGTCAATTATTTTTTTGAAATCCACGATTATTTAATTGACGGGTTTCCAAAATCCACCTCCATCAACCCCAACGGGTTTTGAACAAAAAAACACACATCTTTTCATCCAAACCAGTCAATTAAAATATCCCATTTGTTTCAACCCATATCACCGCCAAATTTCACTTGCACCGCCAAACTTCACCTCGTCAGCACTGATCATCCCACCACCAAACTTCACATCATCAGCACAAATCATCCCACCACCAAACCATTCA